CATTGTACCCCAGTCCTCAAGTTCTACGCTTACAATAATGGAGGAAACAGTCTTCAAGAGTGAACCAGAATTACTCTCCCTACTGTCATTTTTGACAACCACTGTTTAACTATTAGACTACACTAACATGCGAAATTTTCAGCGGAGTGTTTTGCATGGTGTTTTCTCTTCCTCCAAGATGTTCAAATAGAATATTAGCTGACTTTAGATACAGTAACACAGGTCATTCGGACATGAAGCGTAAACGAATAAATTGGCATATCTTTTTTTGTCTGTCCTTAGAGAAATGGACAACATTTGGTTGAATGCCAAGTATATAGAAAGTTCAGTAGTACATTTCGAGAGCACAAGACACAGCTCAGGAACTGTTATCTCATGTATTGGGATACGTTACCAGTCCAGAATCACTTATTTCTTCTGATATTTAGTAGAAACTTGAGAATCAGCAGGATGCAAATATTTTAAATACTTTACAGAGTAATTAATTCGGCAACGACAGAAGACAAGTGTCAGGCAACAGATCGCTTATTGAGAAAATCAAGAGATATTTGTAGATTTGTAAGTACATTATTATTAGCGTTACTGTTAGCACAGAAGCGACGTCTTCCGATTGGTTGTCTTCTAGCTGAAGGTCATTCTGTACTGCTTGTGACCGTTTCTTAAAAAGTTAAGTCATATATCTGCGAATCGCATTTGCACACGTTAAGTCTGCTGTGATTGGTTGGCGAGTTCCTCAAGGTTAAGCTTTGCAATTGTTTTTTTCTCATGATCACGATTTGGGACGTAGACATTGACGGAAATTATTGTCTACAATTTCGGCTTGCAGACAGCTCTCACCACACTATTATAGGTTATATATTATTAGATTATATCCAAGTGAAGTTACATACAGTATATTGATGGAAGTTTTCAGTAGGCCCAAGTTTTAAGCAAACCGCTCGATAAAACATAGAAACATGGCTACTATTTACCCAGACTGTTTCGTGTACAACCACGGTGTAGAATTATAACCCCTGTGAAAATATCCAAATTCACGTATTTTTAAAAATTTCTTTGCGTTCTAATTGGAACATAGAGCTCCGAGTTTTAAAGCATCTGTAAAAGTGGTGCCGTTTTTATGAGGAAAGATTACCAGCCTCACTCTCAACCTTCCCTCTTTGTCTAGGTTAGGAGTGAAGATAACGACTATCGAAGGTTGCTTTCACACAGAGTATAGCAAACGTTACAACAGATAACCGAGATGCCCTTTGAAAGATTTGATAGAGCACCTTTAAAAGAGACAAACATAATATCTGATACAATAGCAGCATTCCTCTAGGCCTGGAATACAAAATCAACTAACTACCTCAAGAAATTCAAACCGTAATTGACCACCTCCGTTCTACCTACACAAATACACTAAAACGGAAGCCTGAAAGGTTTGATTAGCGATAGCGTATATCATCAACCTACTGGCTAGTCAGTTAGGCAAGATTTATAAGTGTGTCGGCCGGGAATCGAACCCTGGACGGCTTTCGCTAACTTACGCCATCTCTGGCGTAGGCGTGACATCCGACTATCAAGCAAGGGACGTGTGTACTGCTCAGCAGTTCGCTCCGTCCTTCTCTATGGCTCTGAAACATGACCAATACGAGTTGAAGACATGAAAAGGTTGTCTGTTTTTGATCATAGATGTCTACGATCTCTTTCTCGCGTTAGATGGTATAATAAGGTAAGTTGACGTTGTTGACGTTAGGCGTAGAGTGTTGGGCAAAGAGGGAAAATCAATCGATGAGGCTATATAGATACATAGATTGAGATGGCATCAATCCATGAAATCCCTGACAGTTAAACTGAGTCAGGCAGGGAGGGAGATGCTGACTTCCTAGTTCGGGCCCGCCCTCGGGACTCTAAGAATCAATGGCTGGAGACAAACAATAGGTGACATGGCTCAAAATCGCTGTCAATGGCTTACACAGATGTATTCAGTCTCCCGTGTAATCTTTCATATTCCTTTATACCATTACTCATTCTGTTTCACTCTTATACTTGTCAAAACTCTATTGATTCTCTTCAGTTATTTTCTTGTCTACCTTTGTGTGGTATTTGGAACGTGGCAACTGGAACTGCTGCACTTCGGTGCCAAGTTCTATGTTAAATCCAGACAGACAGAACCCTAGATGACGGCATGCTTGGTTGGCGAACATTTTACAGATGCACAAAAATAAACAACAACACAAAAGCCAACGCGCTTCATTCATCTCTTTATTTATTTATTTACAGTATAACACACCATCAAACAAAATAAAAAATTAAAGGCCAATCGATTCAAAAATGACACGCCTTTTTCAATTGAACAATTGAACAAATAGTGTAGTAAAACAAAACGTTTACACAGTAAAGCAGTTAGACAGTGTAGAAACAGTTTCTGAGTGAATGAAAAAATGAGGTAATAATAACAAACAATTGTAAAGATATATGGAAGACTCGTTCAACAGCAGGGATAAAATCAGTATGCGACAAGGCTGATTACGTAATAATAATAAGGCTAGGATACATGATATCATAAATTTCTAGTGGCTATCTTCATCACTCGTGACTTGGTGCACTAGATCGATGTATATTTATTTACAAAAAGAACTCAAACAAGGAGATTTCAATAAAAACAAAAACAAAGAAACGTGTCTGAATGACTAGTAGAATTGCTCATAGAGGGAGAAACTTTTGTCAGCTGTATTTATACTACTAACAATAAATGTCAGTAGTAATAATAAGCAATTCGGTTTTTTTGTACTTCATACAAAAGTGTACTCCAATTAGTAGTAGTAGTAATAATAATAAAGAGATGTGATGCAGTATGAAGATTTGCTTTTAAATTTTTGCAACCTGTTTCCACTCCACTCCATTGATATCTCTCTCCCTCCTAAAATAAAATATAGAAAAAAACCAATATGATTAGTTAAATGTAATGACGACTGGTGAATCTTTTAATTCAGTCTGGACTTTCCAGTTGATTTATTGGACAGAATTGCTTGGCCTCAGGTTGGTATGTCGGCTCCTTGTTCAGATGCTGCGATAATGCCTGATTATTTACCCTGAAGTAAATTTGTGGATGGTGATTGGCAATGGAAACCTCAAGGATGCTAGCATTTCGTCCCATTTGGGACTCGTCAGCTAACCGGATGTACCTGTATTCCCCAGTTAGTGATAGTGTTACATAATCAGTCACCATCGAAGCATCTGCACAAGGAGCTGACACGTCAACCTGAGACCGGAGATTGCACCTCAGATGACATACGTGGTTGGTGAGCATTCTATCGCTACGCTGCCGACGCAATTACTAGACCGACACAATTTACCAGTCTTCCGGCTAACAGTTTGGTCTCGTAGACACCTAGTTGGAATCCTGCATCGAACAAGATGTTCATTTCATATCCAATTTCATTACAGATATTGAACTAATGGACTTAACGCTGATTTCAACGACTCAGTGATTGACTTGTTACCAGGAAATAATCTAGTTGACTTAGAATATGCAAGTGATATACTTCTCCATCCTAGGTGAATATGACGGCAAAATGTAGACAGTGTTTTCTGAACACCTTAAGCAGCAATCTTCGAATGTTTCGCATACGATTCGCTCCTATCAATCAAATATAAGATGATGCTACAGGACTGCACTACTTCGACTCACTGCTACCTTAAAGATATGGAGTGAAGTGGTTGCTGAGCGTGTTGATCAACACTTCACTTATTTAAGAAGTTGCAAAAGCCAGTTCCAGAGGGTTGGTCGCTGACGAAATCTCAGAACGGATACAGAAGTCTCATTTGTCATTTATTAGCGGACTTACGCCATCTCTGGCTTAGTAGACGTCATACCCAGTTGGCTGTCGACCAAAGGGTGAGTGTACTGCTCAGTAGTTCGCTCTGTCCTCCTTTATAGCAGGCTATGAGTGAGACATGGCCATTGAAAGTGGAAGACACGAAAACATTGCTAGCTAGCTATTTATGATCATAGGTGTGTGCGTCCTATCTCCTATGTTAAGTGGTAGTTGCAATATGGTGAGTAATATTGAGGTTAGGCGTCGAGTGCTAGCTAGGTAAGGAGGGGAAATCAATCGACGAGGTTGTGAAGCAGCTGCATCGATTGAGATGGTTAGGACATGTGTTACGTATTTACACCTAGTCATCGCCTAGTCATCTCGATGGGCAAAGTTAGCTGATACAAGATGGATCGGTTTGGAAAAGAGCTAGAGCGAGATGGTCAAACGAAAACACGGCTTCATCAGTCAATGAAATCCAAAATAGTTCGTTTAAGCCAGCTAGCCACGTAAGAAGGTGCAGACTACTTAACTGACTGGTTGGAGTTCTCGGTATGGTGAGAACCAAAATATGGCTGGAGACAATTGGTAGGTGATATGGCTCCAAATCGTTGTCAATGGCTGGCGTATTACTATTCTTTTTTCCTCACTCACACTTCTGTTTATTATCTCCCTTTTGATGAATCTCTCTTTACTATCTTCTGTTGGTTGGTGTGCTACATGGAGAGAGTGTGACAACTGGAACTGGTGCACATTTCTGCAAGGTTCTAAGTTGAAACCCTTCAGTCAGTCAGTCAGTCAGTCAGTCAGTCAGTCAGTCAGTCAGTCAGTCAGTCAGTCAGTCAGTCAGTCAGTCAGTCAGTCAGTCAGTCAGTCAGTCAGTCAGTCAGTCAGTCAGTCAGTCAGTCAGATATAGTCAGTCAGTCAGTCAGTCAGTCAGTCAGTCAGTCAGTCAGTCAGTCAGTCAGTCAGTCAGTCAGTCAGTCAGTCAGTCAGTCAGTCAGTCAGTCAGTCAGTCAGTCAGTCAGTCAGTCAGTCAGTCAATCAGTCAGTCAGTCAGTCAGTCAGTCACACTTAACATTCCAGTCTGAATGACACTAAACAATTACAAATTTGTTGGTCCGAGTTACTTATTCAACATTAACAAAAGTATTTCCAAAAATACAGAGATAAAGGACAGACTTACCAATTGTGCATGAGTCAGTAATCAGTATTCATAGAAGATGTAGTTGACCTACTAAATTCATCAGCTAACAAACTCAAAGAATCATCAGTAGTTTCATTTTCTTTATCAAAATATTCACCTAAAGATGGCGGGTGACTTTCAAATGATAATGAAGAGGTGGTATTAGTAGAAGGGGCAACAACAACAGCACCAGCAGCGGCAGCAGTCGTAGTAGTAGTAGGAGTAGGAGTAACAGAAGGCGTAGAGGAAGCTTTTTGTAGTACTGAAGGAAGTTTTGATGATGATAATGACATTTTACGAGGAGTCAAATTTATACAAGCTTGTTTTTGTTGTTGTTGTTGCTGAGATGATGAAAATGGAGCTATTGTGGATGGTGGAGGAGGCGGCGGCGGTTTTTTAAATGATTGCGTCACGGTCAAATGAACTGAAGGATTTACGCTAAAAATAAAATAAAAACAAAGAAAAATATTTCATCTAGTTATAAGTATCAGGGCAAGAAAGTAAAGAAATAGATATCAAAGTCAAATGACCTTGAACCAACCAATCAGGTCGCTCAGCATTCAAAATGGATGCTGTTCACATAATTTTCGTTGCAAGTTTCACACCTAGATGTGGTTTTCTGGATTTCCGTGTGGAAAATGGGTTGGCAGGGAGGACTAAAACCTACATATGTAGAGGGATAATGACGCTACAAATGTATTGCAGGGCTGCTGATGGTTACGCAATCAGATGCAACCACTGTTATATGAGGTAGTCTGTGAGTGTTGGTAAGTCGTACATTATCGTGATTTTTTAGACACTTTCTTCTTAAAATCGAAACTGCCCTTTGGTAAAATGTTGCGTATATACCATAACTGGCTATTGAAGTGACCAATATTTGCTACAACTGCAGAATAATTGCAGTGGTATCAGTACTGTCGTGATATTGCTTCACTAAAGTTAAGTGGGATTACTTCTGTACTAGAGTTGGTGTCGTCGTGCCTATTGACGAAACGGTACTTATTAGGCGAAAAATGAATCGTGGCAGGAGTAGAGCAAATCATGTTTGGGTGCTGGGACTTTTTGCGACACAAATCTTCGTAAAGGGTTTGTAGAACGCATCCCAAAACAGAAGTGCTGATGTCTTAATACCAATTAATAATAATAATAATAATAATGATTTACTTTATTCCAAAAACAGTACTTGTGATACAGAATGGAATTATCAGCATTAATCACAATATTGCATTTAATTTCCTCAAATTATAAATAAAGTTAATCACACAGAAAATTTCCACATACAATAGGTAATGTCAAAAACATGCAGCATATAAAATGGAAATAATAATATATGATAACAGCTAAGGTAGTAATAATAATAATACAAGTGAAAATTGCCGTGGGCTTGTTTCACACAGTATTGTCGATGTGCTATAGAAATCCTAGCATGTTTAAAAATATTGAATATAATGTTCTCTTTACATGATATGGTGAGGGAAAAAACAAAGATTACAGCAGTCATAGAGATAAGTTGGTGTTTGCAGTTATGAAAGTGAGAACAAGAAGCAACAGGACCATAAATATAATAGAAATAATAAAAGTAAAACTTGAAGGTATATAAAGATGGATGGAGGAGATTGTTTATTTACTAGATGAAAAAAGGTTAGTCAATTCTTGCCTGACGCTATTTTCATCACATAAAATACGTGCCAAGTATGGTATCATAGAATTTTTATACTTAGACGTGCGAGCATACAGTTTTCTGAAGTTACTTCTTGTTCTACCTGAGGAGATGCAAGGTGAAAGCTGAGGGTGAAGTGGATGCTCCAAGTCAGACAAAATCCCTTTAGCAAATTTATTGCACGAAGTCAAGTGCCTATCGACAACGACGTTAACAATGTGGTCCACTGGGATACCACTCACCCTATACAATGACTAGTCTTCCCAGGAACTACCATTCACACAGACGAGTGGAGAGGTTATTCTTAATTATCCTCACTAGACTATATTCACCACAAAGTTAACGATTCTTCTAAATTGGTGGATCCTATAAATGGAACACATACAAATTCCATTGAAGGATTCTGAGCCCACCTGAAATAAAACGCATCAGAATGGTAAACGGTTTTGATGTGGTTGTGTTCTCTGTGCTGGACAGTTAATTTGCGACGCTTTCATTACTGCCCTACAAGGCAACATCTTTAGCGCATACTTCAATTTGTTGAAGTGAACTTTTAGATTCCTCCACGAGTTTATTGATCATCTCTCCTGGTGACTCTGAACGTGATTGCTTGTTTTTGTGTGTTTTCATACCCTCTAGTCTACTTGTATTGGAGCTGATTGTTTCTCTGACTTGAACTTTGACGCTTTGTGTGTGAGGTTTCCTTCTTATCGGTTGATAAATTTTGTCTATCTCGATGTGTCTATTGATTGATGATTCACTGGAATACCAGGCTTCTAAAAATTCTCTAGCATTCTTCATGTTTCCTCTGTCTAATATTTGAACGCTGTTGTCCCAGTCGAATTGATATCCGTGGTTGTCTGTATGTAGTGATATGAGTGAGGGAATGGATGTCATGTCTTTTGATGGCTAGGTAGCTTATATTCATGGATACGAAGACGAAGAGGGGACGTCCACTTTAGTCAATGTAGTGTTTTTCCCACTTGTTACAATTTATTTTGTAGATAATGTTGGTTTTATCTTCTTTCGTTGTTGCGTCGTTTGGTTGACATAGAGCCAGCTGAGTGGTGAAGTGATTTTGTTGGTTTGTGTGCGACGTCAATTCCTCATTAAGGTTTGAAGAGTTTTGCAGTGATTTTCCGAAATGATATGGTATATAGCCACTTAGATGAGTCCTTGTATCGATATTGATTTAATATGTCTCTATAACCACTCCTATGCGAAACTGGGAACAGTTTTTCCAGCATATCAGAGACATATACCCTGTATAATTCTTTTTTATTACATATGTATATATTAAAAAACACGTTTTCGTTAATTAAATGCCACTTTTCACCTGGAAGAATCTGATTGGTTGTTTGAAGGCCGTATGTAGTTGGTGTCTATTCTATACTATTGCTAGTATCGGAACATTTCGACGGGGAAAACATAAGTCAACTGAGAAAGTATTGATAGTCCAGAAAAAAATTAAACACAAATCATTTAATTTAATACAAGCAACAAATTATAAATTATTTAAATTAATCCCAGCGTCGTGTTTAAGAAAAAATCAAAACAAGATCTGTTTTCTGAACGTTTCGCTGTGTAAGCTGCCACAGCCAGCTTCTTCAGCAGAATTAATCGGATTTTATTAATCATCAAAATATATTTATGTATATGTCCAAACCAAGTTCACTTTTAACACTTTGAAAAAGTGTGCATATTGGGTATAGAGCAGAGACGTCACACGATAGATATCAGAATAGTACTCAATAAGCTCGACACCAGAGTTTTCTTCAAAAAAATCAAACACGCACACTGCGAAGCAACCTTGTCCATATAAAAGACCAAATCCTTAAAGATTCTCTATCTAATTGTGTCTATAAAATAAAATGCTTGCTTCGATTGTCATGCAACATATATCGGACAAACATCGCCAGAGAGAAATCAAAATCAGAAGAAATGAACACAGTAGAGCCGCCTCTGTTCGACCACCGAGAAATAAATCCAGTTGAACTAACAAAGCTTGAAAACTCATCAGCCATAGGCCGTCTACACGCTACGCTATAGAATCAGGCCACAAAATTGATTTCGACAATATTGAAATAATCATCTAATGTCAATGAGAAGCACTTCATATCAAGTGGAATCCAAATTGTCTGGTGAGTAGGAATGATGGACTAAAACAGAAATTCACCTGGTTACAACATCTCCCTCCCCCATGAAATGACAAAATCAACACGAATGTGATAAGCAATTTCATTATGTAAACACACGATGCTCTTGCATAATTTTATACATTTATCAAACCCAACAATCTACACGTGGTTTTGTTATCTTCACCCATTGGCTAACTTGACAACGTAAAAATGACCTCATACTGAGGAACGACGATTAATTTGTTATATATAAGCTGAATGGATTTTACAAATTCTGGTTTAATATTACTACTTTGATAAAGCTATTAGCAGCAGCATTCAACAACGAAACGTCAGTAAAAACGACAACAATATCGTTTTGTTTTTCATTCATTCATTGGGAAATGCAAGAAAACCTTTATTATGATGAATATCAAAATTTTTTTTATTTCCTTCACGTTCCCCAGTGGAACATAGGGCTTCAAGCTAGTGCCTTGAAGTTTCTGTAGCAGTGCTTATTTTACAGGTTGGGGTTGCTAGCCTCATGCCCAACCTTTCCTCTTCACCAGCATTAATTCTGGCTTAGCGAAGTAAAGGAGTGCGTCGGCCGGGGATCGAACCCCGGACTATGTGCATGGTCGGCGAGCGTCTTAACCGCTATGCCACCGACGTACTATTCACACAGTGATACACCCATTGACTGGGTATTTGTTTTCAGGTGAACCAAACACACCCATCCCTGCCTCTTGCGAGACAAGAACGGCATGCAGGATCATCCTGTGGCGCAACCACTCGAGTGCCCTCTTCCTCGGTGGACCATGGATCAAAATATATAGTCAAAAATTTTTTTACATAAAATTGTCGGTAGACATTTGTACCAATAGAAATACGTAAGCAGTCATCATATATTTGTAATGACTAATGTCAAATTGTCATATGTACATATGTCTGTATGAGTGTGTGTGAGTGTATGTTATTTGTTATATGGAAAACACGTCAATTCACATGTGACATATGGCAAGCTCTGATGAAGCAAGATAGATGAAAAAACAAAACAAAAAACTTTATGAACCTCCATGACCTTTAAAAAAAATGTATAGTCATGTTTGTCACATGCTAACTGGCGTCTATTCCATATGACAAATCAAATACACGCATACAGAAAAATATACATAATAACAATTTGACATTAGTCGTTAGACATGATAGAGAAGATTTGTAGCTAAGGTGGATGCTTTTGATGTGGTTGTGTTCTCTGAGCTGGACAGTTAATTTCCGAAGCTTTCATTGCCCATTAGTCATTACAAATATATGTGATGACTGCTTACATATTTTCTATTGGTAAAAATGTCCATGGACAAATGACCTTCAAATAAACTGACTTCAATTTATGTAAAAATTTTTTGACTATATATTTTGATGATTAATAAAAATCCGAATAATTTTGATGAAGAAACTGGCCGTGACTTACATAGCGAAACCTTCAGAAAAGAGATCTTTCTGAACAGGCTGTGATTAATTTAAATAATTTATAATAAGTCAATCTGACTCGGCGTTCACATTATTCCAGGAAGTTCGTAACACCAACGGTCTGGAAACTTACAAGTAACAAATGTTGCCAATAAAGCAGGATTTAATCAATGTTTCGTTAGGACTCTTCAACTGTTGAATTTTATACATACAATAGGAGTAGCGCATCTAGGAACAAACAAAATTGCTCAGAGAACATCAAAACAACTCCAACTTTCACCTTGAGGTACAAATCTGTTTTTCATTGTTTTACCGATCACTGAGAAAATTATTCGTTTAGAAGAAAATTATTCGTTGAAAATCTTATATAACTTATGTATCAATTTGAAGAAAATAATCTACGATGGCTATGTGAATTCATAAACCATAAAGAGAGGGTGAAAATTTCCGAACAGGGAAGGTGGTTGGAACGAACGAACGAACGAACGACTGACTGACTGCATAACCTTTAAGCGACCAATCAGATTTCCCATACGTGGTGAATAGAAGATGTACTGGATGCAGAACTCTGCCCAGAACAAGCTGGATTCAGGGAAAGCGAATCACGAGCGGATCGAATTGCAACTCTACACATCGTCATCACAGAACAAAACACAGAATGGCAGTTAAATATCACTCTACCTCAATTTCATTGATTTCAAAAAGGCCTTTGACAGAAAACGTTGACCAAGAAGTAATTTGGAAACTACTTCAACACTATGGCGTGCAGTGACCCAAATCTTCACGAATCTTATTCAACCGCTGGCTATATGACAATGCCACGTGTCAGGCGATCCACAACAGAAAACTCAGTGAGACGTTTGAAGTGAATACAGGGGTAAGACAAGGCTATCAGCCTACTTTCACCAATGATATTCCTAATTGTGGTGGAGTGTGTGGGAGAGAGGAGACAGGACGACTCTGGAAGAACTGGATTTCGCGTGTGAATGATTTCTGCTTATTGTCACAAGAACTCGAAGACTTACTGGCGAAAATCAACGAACTGGAAGAAGAAACAACGAAGACAGGGACTCCAAGTGAATATAGAGAAGACGGAAGTGATGAAGATAACCAACCAACAGCAACAACAACGGCAGCATCTTTTCAACTACAGGCAGTCGGCACGGATGACAATGTCAAAAGCAGAATAGGAAAGGTAACACAGTCATTTATCTAGCTGAAACCAGTTTAGAGATCTTCTGCTCACAGTCAGCATAGAGAACAAGATCCGGATTTCATTCAACACCATTGTAAAGTCAGTCAGTCAGTTCTTCTATATGGGTCAGAATCTTGGACTGTGTTTCACGAAAAGCATTTCCAACAGCCAGTTGAAGACTTTTATCAACAGCTGCTATCTTCGATGGCTCCATAGTGAACATCACATGGCCAAAAACCATAAGCAACAAGAAACGACGTAAAATAGAAGTGTGGTGAGAGCTGGCTGCTAGCCAAAGTTCGTAGACAGTAATTGACTTCAATGTTTATGTCCCCAATATTGGCGGTGAGAAAATAAGAACAAAGGCTTTGCGTAGGCGGATACAGTTAGCAAAGCGATGATCTGATACAGCCACAAAGAGATGCAAGGTTAACTTTCTGTGAGAAATAACCAATCAAAAGACTGTACTTTCTACTAATAATAATCTATAATAATGTACATTAAAATCTATAAATATGTGTTGATTTTCCTTAATAAACGATCTCCTTCCTGGCCCTTGTCTTCTGTTGTTACAGTAGAACAAAGACATCAGCTATATATATATGTATATATATATATACAAATTAAGTTCACTTTCAGCAGTTTGAAAACTTTTTTCGGGCATTGCGTATATTTTATTCATTATAATAAAGGTTTTTCATATTTCCCAATGAATGCATGAAAAACAAAACGATATTGTTGTGGTTTTTACTGACGTTTCGCTATTTAATGCTGCGCTAATAGCTTTATCAAAGTAGTAATATTATAACCAGAATTTATAAAATCCACTCAGTTTATATATAACAACTTAATCATTATCGTTCCTCAGCATAGGGTCATTTTTCGTTGTCAAATTGGCTAATCGGTAAAGATAACAAAACCAGGTGTAGATTGTTGGATTTGGTAAGTGTATAAGATTATAAAAGCCTATCACATTCGTGTTGATTTTTCACTTCATGGGCGAGGGAGGTGTTGTAACCAGGTCAAATTCTGTTTTAGTCCATCATCATTCCTATTCACCAGACAATTTGGATTCCACTTGATATGAAGTGCTTCTGACTGATGTTAGATGTTCTTTGTGATTTGTGAAATGCTTTTTCTGGATGATGATTTCAATATTGTCGAAATCAATTTTGTGACTTGATTGTACTATAGCGTGTAGACCTATGGCTGGCGATTTTTCAAGCTTCTCTAGTTCACTAACTGGATTTCTCGGTGGTTGAACAGAGGCGGCTCTACGGTGTTCATTTCTTCTGATATTGATTTCTCTCTGGCGATGTTTGTCCGATGTATATCCCATCACATTCCAAGCAAGCATTTTATTTTATGGACACAATTAGATAGAGAATCTTTAAGGATTTGATCTTTTATATGGATAAGGTTGTTTCGTACTGTGTCTGATGTTTTGAAGAAAACTCTGATGTCGAGCTTATTGATAAAACTATTTGCAGCAGCATTAAATAGTGAAACGTCAGTAAAAACAACAATATCCTTTTGTTTTTCATTCATTGGGAAATACAAAAAGACAGCCAGCTCACCAAAAACTTCATAATATAAAGCCAATTGTTATCGCCTAATTTTTGTCTAGCGTGCGTTAACATACAACTTTAAAACAACTATATTTTGCAGTTATCGTGCACTTCATATTTGCCTCTCTTTATGAAAGCTGAACTCTGATTGGTTATTGACTCTTTAAATTCAATAGCCCTAAAGTGACCAATCACATTTGGCCTGAGTTGTGTCAAGGTCATATAAAATACTTTTATTTAACTTCACTTAATGATGATGATCCTGGAGAGAATCAAACACGCCAACCTAGATGAAAAAGCTTCGACCGGAACAGGCTGGATTCAGGAGAAACAAGTCATGCATTGATCAGATCGCCACATTACGGATCATCATTGAACAAAGCTTGGAATGGCAGTCACCTCTCTATCTCAACTTCATCGACTTTGAAAACACCTTCGATAGCGCCGATCGACAGGTGATTTGGCAACTACTTCGCTACTACGGGGTGCCACCGACAATTATACATCTCATCCAATAGCTGTACGACAATGCTGCATGCCAAGTAATCCACAACGGGAAACTTACGGAATCCTTCGAAGTGAAGACAGGAGTAAGACAAGCTGGCTGCCTACTATCGCCAATGATTTTCCTGATTGCAGTAGATTGGATAATGCGACAAACAGTGGGCAATGAGGAAACAGGCATGAAATGGACTCACACCAAATATTTGTAGGATCTGGACTTCACCGATGATATGTGTCTGATTTCCCACAAACTGGAAGATATGCAAGCGAAAAGCAACAAGTTGGCAGAAGAAGCATCAAAGATAGAACTTCAGGTGAACATAGAGAAAACAGAGGTTATGAAGATTCTTGGCCAACACCAACAGCAACAGCAACAACAACAACAACAGACAACGATCAGCATAAATAGGAGGAACCTGAAAGAAACAACCTCTTTTACCTACCTGGGAAGCATCGTTTCAACTACAGGCGGATGGAACTAACGAGGATATCAAAGCAAGAATCGGAAAAGCAAGACAAGCTTTCACTACTCTCAAGTCTGTGTGGAGGTCAACAGCACTCAGCATCAAATATAAGATCCGGATTCTCAACTCCAATGTGAAGTGAGTGCTACTGTAGGGATCAGAGACTTGACGCGTCATGAAGAGCACTTCGAACAAAATACAGACCTTCATTAACGGTTGTCTTCGCTCAATACTACTCAAGATCAGATGGTCAGAAAAGATCAGCAACAGGGATCTCTGGGAGTGAGCGAACCAATCAGGAACCGATTGTGCAACAAATAAGCAGGAAGAAATGGAGGTGGATTGGCCATACATACTCTGAGGAAACCATCAAGTGATATCACTAGACAAGCCATCGCCCGAGTGGAATCCGAAAGGGAAGCGGCGAGTTAGTTGGTCATCAGTGCAAGGGTGACTTAGAGCCAGGTGAAAACTTAAGCAGAGAACCGAACGCAATGGAGACGTGCAGCTGAAGCCTTATGTTCCTCTAGGAATTAAAGGAAACAATAATAATAATAATGACAGGAAAAAGAATAGAGCAAAGAGTAAACTACCTTGAACGTGTTGATGCACGAGGTTTTGGTGGCGGTGGGGGTAAGGGATCTGTTAAATGATGAAAAAGATGAGAGAAAGATGATGGTGTGGCGGTTGAAGTTGTAGTTGTAGTCGTAGAAGTAGCAGTGGCAGTTGTAGACGGGATAAATGTAGAAAGATTTACATTACATTTACCATTATTTAAATTTGCTTGTTTACTTATCTGTTGATGATTCAACATAGGGTATTCAGTATCAACACAATTATCATAAATATAATCATAATCATCATCATTATCATCATTATGGAGAATTTGTAGTGCAATTGGAAGACTAGATGAACTACTACTGCTATTCATTGAAGATGAATGTGTTAATGTGTTTGCTGTTCTTGTTGCTGAGGTTGGGGTTGTTGTTGTTGAGGTTGTTGTGGCGGTGGCGGTGGTGTTTGTGGTTGTTGTACTTGAGGATAAGGAGGAGGATGTAAACGTGGATGATAATGACTGGAACGATTGTATCGATCTTTGAGATGAGTACTTTTCACGAATGAATGAAGTGAGCAGGTTTTCTGATCTGCAAAACAGAAGAAAAAGAGACAAGTGCAAAAAATACACAAATAAGTGAAACAAAGGCAGCAGCGGCAACTGCGGTGGGGGGGGGGTATTTAATGAAAATTCATAGTTCGTTTGGTTATTTTCATCACCTCCTCCTCTGGTTGCCCGCCTCTTCAGCCAGTTTGTTGGTTTTCGCCTGTAAGTCTTCGAGTTTGTGTGACATTGGACACATATCATCCACATGCGAAATCCAGATCTTCTAGAGTCTTCTAATCTGTGGTTCAGCGTGCTCCTGTCCCCTCGTTCCCTGCGGTCTGACGCATAATCCAGTTCACCACAGTTAGGCATATCATCGGTGATAATATACAGGCAGCCAGCTTGTCTTACTCCTGCATGCATTTCGAACGCTTCGCTGAGTTTTGCGTTGTGGATCACTTGACATTTGGCATTGTCAAATAGCCAGGTGTTGATTGACGTTGACAAAGACTTGGGCACTGCACACCGTAGTGTTGAAGTAGTTTCCAAATTAATTCTCAGCCAACGCTGTCAGTTGAAGTCCTTTTCGAAGTCCATAAAGTTGAGGTAGGGATTTGGCTGCCATTCTATGCTTTGTTCGATAATAATGCGTAGAGTTACAATTTGATCAGCGCACATGATTTGTCTTTCCTGATTCCAGCTTGTTCTGCAACCAGTGCATCTTTTATTCTCTCCAGGATGATGCGAATTAGTATTTTACTTAGCATGGACAAGAGCATAATTCTGCGCCAGTCAGTTCTAGCACAGGCGTAAATCGCTCTTCTTTGGCAGCTTGGGGGTCCTTCTATACGGGTCAGAAACTTGCGCTGCGCATCATGAAAAGGATTTCCAACAGATAGTGGTAGACATTCATCAACAGCTGCATTCGCTCCATACTGAAGATCAAATGGCCAGCTAATCAGAAAGAATTAGTAACAAGAAACTCTGGCCGAGAGGGAAACAACCAAAAGCCGATCACTTGACAAATATGTAAGAGAAAATGGAGATGGATGCATCAGGCATACATTGAGGAGGCCGCCGAATGATATCGCGCGTCAGGCCATCGCTCGAGTGGAATCGAAATGAGAAGCGACGACTAGGTCGTCATTACAAGGGTGACATGGAGGGGATCGTGTGTGTTGCAGGAGAAGATGAGAGTTTATGGGCGATCGTGTAGCTGGGCAGCTGAAGAGGACAGCGGAAGATGGAAAAGAGCGGAGATGTGTTGTTGAAGCCCTATGTTCAACTTAGAACCCAAAAAAATAATAATAGTACTTGGGCACTATGCTCCTTCAAAAAGACTTCCCCAACTTATTTTAGTTGATAGCTTCTAGGATGCGAATTTCCTTCGATTTTGGACTCGCCAGCTGGATGTAACTGACTCATCAATAACACATAGTGTTCCTATTAAGACTCGAACCTTGCATCCATCATTTCAAATACATAACGGCAACACTGCACAAGAGGTTGCCTTCATGTCCCGGTGGATGATAATGCCTCGAAGTTGCAAACGATAGGTGTAGGATTAGAGTGCCGTTAAGGATACCATCAGTTAATGACGAGTCAAGGATATCGAACTCACGAGTCCCAAATAGGGAGACGTGCACCACCTGGAATCACTCAAGATAACAGCATGTTAGTGTTCAGACATCGTCAAAGTGTCTGCAGTAGCAGTAGCTAAATAATTTCGCTAACTACTCATAGTTTAAGAGAACTCTGTCTGGATTCAACATAGAACTTGTCACCGAAGTGCAGCAGTTCGAGTTGCCACGTTCCAAATAGCACACAAACGTAGACAAGAAAATGAGTGAAGAGAATCAATAGAGTTTTGACAAGTATAAGAGTGAATCAGAATGAGTAATGGTAGAAAGGAGTATGAAAGATTACAGAGACTGAATACATCTGCATAAGCCATTGACAACGATTTTGAGCCATGTCACCTATTGTCTCCAGCCATTGATTCTTAGAGTCCCGAAGGCGGGCCCCAACCCGGAAGTCTGCATCTCCCTCCCTACCTGACTCAGTTTAACTGTCAAGGATTTCATGGATTGATGAGGCCATGTTTTTGTTTGGCCACCACTTACTCTTTTCCAACCTGCACCCATATCAGCTAGTAATGTCCGTCGGGGTGGGGTAGGCGATGGCTAGGCATGCGCAGCACGTGACCTAGCCATCTCAATCTATGTAACTTTATAGCCTCTTCGATTGATTTTCCCTCTACGCCCAACACTCTACGCCTAACGTCAACATTACTTACCTTATTATACCACCTAACGTGAGAAAGAGATCGTAGACATCTGTGATCAAAAACAGTCAACCTTTTCATGTCTTCAACTCGTATTGGCCATGTTTCCGAGTCATAGAGAAGGACGGAGCGAACTGCTGAGCAGTACACACGTCCCTTGGTTGATAGTCGGATGTCACGACTAAGTCAGAGATGGTGTAAGTTAGCGAAAGCAGCCCGAGCTTTTTGGATCCGTGCTGAGATTTCGTCACCAATCAGTCCGTTGGTGCTGATACAACTTCTCAAATAGGTGAAGTGGTCAACATGTTCTATCAGTTTAAGAGAACTATGCCAAAATGATATCACAGAAAAGTACTCATATATGTCAATATAACTGAATTAATGCTTTTGGAAAGATTTTAGGACATTGACACCATACACACTAATTATATGTTTGTAGAATTCTTAAAAATTCCCATTAAATAGAATTTTCATTCAAACAGTGTTACACCTCCCATGTTAAGTGATATAATGTCGTTAAGCGTAGGGTTTTAGATAAGGAAAGACATCAATAGATGAGGTAATGAAGGTGCATTGATTGGGATAGCTAGGACACGTATTACTCATGCCAAGGTATCACCTTTTTCGTCTGGTAATGTTAGCTGATATAGAATTAGGTTGGTAAAGAGTTAGGCGTAGTCGAATCAAAATATAGTATCAATCTGTAAAGTGTTTAACTTTCACATTCAGCCAGGGATACTCAAGACGTCGAGAACCATCGGTTTACATGGTTCAAAACGCGTCTCAATAGAGCTATGATGCGGGCTCGAATCTCAAAAGGGACATGATTTCTTTCAAGGTTGCAGATACGCCTTGCTGACTGGTGAGTGCCAACTAGCCGAAACCTAAGCCAAGCAAGGCTTCCCGTGGCCGATTGCTTCCAACCATCTAATATCAACAATTCACAGTGCACCGTGATGACGAGCCACCTAGTGGCATGGTGGCCATATTGCAAGGTTGACTAACAGAATTCAGTCTGCACCAAAGATAGGACTAGACACATTACACTAGTTATTACTGGCTAGCGTCCAATCAAAAATAACCAATACAGTCAGTCCTATCGGTTCGATATTTGTTCACAATCCATCTCATTGGTCTATTTGTCAGATAAAAACAAATCCCATGTTGTCGCATGATGGGCGTCAACCAATCACAGCCCAGAATGCAGTCGGTTATTATTATCATTACTTATTATTATTCCCTTGGATTCCCAGTGGAACATAGGGCTTCAAAAACAAACCTCCAATCTGTTCTGTTTTCTGATGTCCTCTTCACCTGGTTAGCCACACGGTCGCCCATAAACTCTCATCTCCTCCTCCTCCACGCACGATCTCCTCTATATCACCCTCGTACTGGTGACCCACTCGTCACTTCCAATTCTGACTCCACTCGAGCGATAGCCTGACGCGCGATGTCATTCGACGGCCTCCTCAATGTATGCCCAATCCATCCATCTCCATTTTCTCCTACATATTTGTTGAGTGATTGGTTCTTGTTTTGTTTGTTCCCATAGTTTCTTGTTGATGATTCTTTCCGGCCATCTGATCTTCAGTATAGAACGAAGACAGTTGTTGATAAATGTCTGCAACAGGCTGTTGGAAATATTCTTGGTGACCAGTTGCCAAGTTTCTGATCCGTATAGAAGAAGTGACTGACTTGACGTCGTTTGTATTGAAAATCCGAATTTTGTTGTTGATACTGGCTGAGTGACGAAGATTTCCAGATTAGTTTCAGGTTGATGAATGTGTTTCTTGCCTTCTAGATTCTCGATTTGACATCCTCGTCCGTTCCTCCTGTAGTTGAGACAATGCTCCCTAGATAAGTGAATGAACTAACCTCTTTCAAATCCCTCCCGTTGATTGTGATTGGTGCTGGATGTTGCTCCTGCTGTTGTTGTTGGTTGGTTGGTTGGTTATTTTCATAACCTCCATCTTGTCTATGTTCACCTGGAGTCCTGTCTTCCCTGGCTGCTTCTTCGACCAGTTTATCGGTTTTCGCTTGTAAGTCTTTACTATTCGAGCCTTATGATTGGATCCAAATATGCCATACGCTTGGTCAATCTCTCTCTGTCTGTCACCTATGTCGGAACTAGAGGTTTCCAACCCTACTACTATGTGAGTTTTCTGGATTTTACTAATTTTCGCGTCACGGAATAATCAATCAACCAGGAACGTATCAAGTGTTCATATCGTCAATTACTATTTGTACTCATGACATACAGTGACCACTCCTAAAACAACTTTGTTGATCGTAGTAAGTGAAGGGAAAAAAGCACTTTATAGGAGGTAAGTCACAGCAACTCTTCCCTCTTTAATTCACACTAAAACATACACACGCACACACTTCTCCAGTACACATATTCGGTATACAAGAAACATTAATATATATGCGGTAAAAGACAATTAATATGAAGCAAATCAGGCGATAATAACAAAAACAATATATGCTGACATGGAAAAAAGCAAAACAATCCCCCATTTGATATTGGTTGCATCATGATTCACCAACAAACATTGTTTCGTCCCAGATAAGGACTCTTCAAAAGTGTGCATCTATTCAACAGCTGTACGACAACGGCACATGTCAAGTGATCCACAACGGAAAACTCAGCGAGGCGTTTGAAGTAAACACAGGAGTCAGACAAAGGTGCTTATTATCACCAATGATATTCCTAATTGTGATGGACTGGATTATGCATCAGACAGTGGGAAACGAGAAAACAGGGATATCCTGGATCGACGTGAAGAACCTAGAAGACCTGGATTTCGCGCGTGGATTATTTATGTTTGATGTCACACAAAATCGAAGACTCACAAGCGGAAACCGACAAAGTGGTTGAAGAAGCAGCAAAGACAGGACTGACTCCAGGTGAACATAGACAAGACGGAGGTTATGAAAATAACCAACCAACAACAACAACAGCTGCAACATCCAGCACCAATCACCATCAACGGGAGGGATTTGAAAGAGGTTACTTCATTCACTTACTTATCTAGGGAGCATTGTCTCAACTACAGGAGGAACGGACGAGGATGTCAAATCGAGAATCTAGAAGGCGAGAAACACATTCATCAACCTGAAACCAGTCTGGAAATCATCGTCACTCAGCCAGTACCAACAACAAAATTCGGATTTTCAATACAAACGTCAAGTCAGTCAGTTGTTCGATACCGATCAGAAACTTGGCAGCGGGTCACAAAGAATATTTCCAACAGGCTGCAGACCTTTATCAACAACAACTGTCTTCGCTCTACACTGAAGATCAGATGACCGGAAAGAATCACCAACAAGAAACTATGGGAACAAACAAAACAAGAACCAATCGCTCAACAAATATGCAGGAGAAAGTGGAGATGGATTGGACACTCACTCGCTGAGGAGGCCGTTGGGTGACATCGCGCGTCAGGCCAGTGCTCGAGTGGAACCCTAAAGGGAAGCGGTGAGTGGGAAGTTGAAGGGAGACATGGAGGAGATCGTGTGAAGAGGAGTTGAAACAGTATGGACTAACATGGATGCAAGTGAAAAGTACAGCAGAAGACAGACAGCAAGTGGAGACGTGCAGTTGAAGCCCTATGTTACGCTAGGAACCCAAGGGAACAATAATAATAATAAAAGTGTGCATTTAAAACCTCTCCCCATCAGCGACTGGACACGACACATTTCCTTACTCGACAAGCGCAATGTCAACTCAAAGAGGAATTGGGTAGTCAAACCGCGAAACCCAGCATCAATCTATCAAGTCCTCAACAATTGATTTAAGCCAGTTAGGAGGGGTGTAAACTGCTTGGTTGTGTTCCTTAGGATGTTAGCTGGAGACTATAGGTGATATAACTTAAAATCGTTCACTCTTTGTGATTTACTGTATTGATTAGGTGTCGCCACACAATTCCGCTCATTACAGTTCGTCCTATATGTGTGCTATATGGAGTTTGACGACTTGGACTGATGTACACTTCTGTGCAAAGTTCTATGTTGAAACTCATTAAGTCAGTTAGTTAATCAATGAAGATTGAACACTTTGGATTCATAAGTTAACCTCAGTCCCTTATAGGATCATGGGTGAGTGCTGTTGAAGAGTCTCGAACCAAGACGAAACAGCTAGTTCATTAGTTGACCAAAGCCAATGAAAAACACATTCATAAAGCGAGAGAGAGCAACTTAAGCAATGATAGCGCATGAACAAAGAGTGAATACAAAACAAACAGGAAGCAAATCTATGGCAGAAACATTAACGATGTGATATTATTAACCATTCAGGCAGGCTTGAAACAAGCACACAAAAGAAACGATATAATCTAGGTATAAATGATTCTGGCAGGTAGGATGAACACACAACACATAAACGAATGATAACATAAGATTAAGTCAATAATCATTAAATATGATTTTGTATTTTGATACAAAGGGGAATGGATCACATAAAAAGAATTTAGTATACTCAAGTATTGGTTTGTAGGGATTTGATTGATTCGTTACAGGATTTCATCATGAGCTGATATTGGTTAGAGAACCATTGGAAAACCTGAAAGGAGTACTGGACAGCTGTTTCATCAGCTTAGTTTGGGACTCTTCATCAGTACGCACCCACCTCACTAGGGTTCGAACCCAGGACCTTCTGGTTACAAGGCGAGCTCGAAGACCGTTAAGCCACTGGGACCCAATGCAATGATCAGTGTCTTCTAACTTCTGCCAATTCAGGTCATAGCGCGACTGCTAGCCAACGTCTTCGGCGAGTATTGGTCCTCACGAGTTCCCACTAGGATCCCAGGTAACTACCTACCTGAATAGGACCAGTTGCCAGTGAGCACTAGGACGAAACAGCTCTCCAGTACCCCTTTCAGGTTTCCCAGTAGTTCTCTAACCAATGTCAGCTCATGATGAAATCCTGTAACCAATCAATCAAATCTTTACAAACCAATACTTGAATATCGATGAGATGCTCACTAGGGACTTGCCCTATTCAGGTAGGTAGTTACCTGGGTTCTAGTGAGAAGTCGTGACCAGTAGGGTGTGAGGACAAATACTTGCCGAAGACGTTGGCCGGCGGTCACTCTATGTCGTGAATTTAGTATACTATTTCATTCTACATTCAAGCAGCAGTATGCGACTGTGTGCAACTATAAGAGTTGGCGGTGAGTATTTATCTCATTTGATGACTATGCAAAGGAGTAGGGTGTATTGATGACACCTATGAGCAAAAATTTTGTTAACCAATAGGGAGAAAATCAGATAGGAGGAAGAATTAATTTATCTCATATATGTTATGTATTTTGCCGCACAAATGCGCAACACTTCGATTTGTCATACTCTTTCCATGAAGCACACAAAGCAAGAGAAGACAGACATGTCGGCTTCTTGTGCAGATGCTTCAACGATGTCTGGGCATATAATTAGAATTTAATTCGTAGGTGATGACTAGCAATTGAATCCAAGATGCGCACTTCGTTTTATTTGGGACTCGTCAGTCACTGGATGTGCCTGGATGGGAACATCATCACTCACTGGGGAATGCAGGCATATCCAGTTAACGAGTCCCAAATAGGACGAAATGAGCATCCTAGTGGATTCCACTGCTAGTCACCATCCACTAATTAGATTCAATCTTGACCTTACATAATATTCAGTTTTGCCCGTATATAAATTATGTATGGTGAGTATATGTGTGATCAGAGTGTTAGAAATATGTGATCGGGGGGGGGGGGGGGCAAATACATGACACACTACACATAAATTCATTAGGGTGATAATTGCTTTAAAAACGCAACCTGTTAAATGTGCTTCAAAATGTGAAAGACAAGCACTATTAATCAGCTTACATTCTAAATTTGAGAACAATGAAATCCCATACAAACCAAGAATTATTCTAATACTCACTAGTGACTGGCTGCATACAGGAGGCTTCCTGGAGCTCTAGTGAGAAGTCGTAACCAGACGAGTCCACACGAGTCAGATAAGAGACCAGTTGCTCGCCTATGACATTAGTTGGAGGTTGCTCCAAATATCACATATAAGGAGGAGTTGGAATTCATGGGCTATTGTATCGGGACCCAATAGCTCAATGGTCTGCGATCTCGCCCTACAACTAGAGATTTTTGGGTTCGAACGCAGGAGGATGGGTTCTACTGAAGGGTCCCAAACTGGGACAAAGCGCCTGTCCAATACTCCTTACTGGTTTTTCAGCCATTCTCTAAATGATGTCAGCTTGTGATAACACCTAAATCAGAAACGTTTTGAAAGCACAAGCCACATACACACAAATAATGACAAGGATGTTTTAGGAAAACGTGCGTCTTCCATGATTAAAAGCACAAAATAAGCATATATATATGTATACAGATACACACAAAGCTCACAATGATGAAAACATGCAGTGGTGAAGTGGACACACAAATGTGTAAGCATAAGCCCCCATAAGCAGAACGTACCTATGCAACAACTGATCTACATGAATGTACATACGTTTTAAAAAAATATATGTAAATTCGAGGTTAGTTGGGCAAAATATGAAGCATGCAATATATGTGCAAGTAATTTATCACTTTGAATGAAAGCATTCAAACTAAGAAGAAAAAAAAGATTTAAATTCAGTTGCACTGATTATGACATCTAACTTGATATCGATACGTTCGCCAATCAACTTGAGAAATTTTAGGGTTAGGCGGCAAAACAAAATGTGAGCTAGTTGCAACATACTTTGAGATGAATGTGGTTAATAATTTATTACTGCTGTTGTACGCAAGAGGGTTTTTACAAAAAAGCGTAGGTGTCTCTGACGGTTTGCTGGGGTGGAAGTTTGCTTAAAAATTCAACTCATCAATGATCTCAGCAGTGTAGTGTATGCGATAGACATGTTGTTGATATGTAGTCACGTTGTGTCTGCCCTGTTTTGTCAGTCTGACATATTTTGTTATGTGTCTATTGATCGTTAGTCCATTATGACTCACAATCTATATTGTCTACCTATTAACTAAATAAACGATGTGTGACC